CAAACAGTGACTGAGATAACTCGATTCGATTTACCGAAGAGTTTTGCATTATTAGCCGTAATAGTCACTGTTTACAAACCCACACTTCCCACCCAGAGTGCTCAACCGAAATACATTTTTCAGGAGCATATATATTGTTATCCACAGACATACTGTTTCGCTGTATCACAGCTCATCAGACCTCCGGTTGCCTCTAGCTAGGATCGAAACCTGACCGAATTCGGTCGGAGATTCTACCACTACGCTTTTGGCGCAAGGTAGAAATTTTTGGCATTTTGAATAATCATTCATAATAATGAATCGAGTCTTGAAGAATCCTCAACAACTGGATTCAGAAAGCACTGGACTGCCAGTGGTATGTTTTCTACCTTCTGCTGAGGATTATTCTAGACTCGTTGAATTATATATATATATATATATATATATATATATATATATATATATATATATATATATATATATAAAAATAAAGAGTTTGTAGTGGTTCCAACAAGAGAAAAGTATGTATATTAAAAAGAAGAGAAGAGAGGTGCCGCAAACGTTTTTGGTTGTAATGTGGATTTATTTAGAAAAAAATATTAGGCTTTGTTTTCCATAATTTTACTACACGAGTTTCTGGTCTCGTGACCATCTTCAGGTAAAAGCGGAGATTTCCACATATTATTAAAAATAATGAATTTTTTCCTTATGTTTTTCAGTGTTAAATATTCTCGATATGAGACATTCTCTGTTTTTGTGTTAGTAATCCGAATGTCTTTCTTGAATTGGCAATGAAGAGTTCTGCGCGAAGGGTCATAAAACAACTAAGGTTGGTCCAAGAGAATTCAAGAAAGACATTCGGATTACGAACACAAAAACAGAGAATGTCTCATAGCGAAAAACATAAGGAAAAAAAAATTAATTATTTTTAATAATATGTGGAAATCTCCGCCTCGATATATATATATATATTGAGAGATAGGCTCGAATTGACTGATAGATAGAAAGAATAAGAAAGAAAGAGGAAGAGAAGCGTATAGGCTAAAATAGATAGATATAAGGGAGAGCATGCGAAGAGAAGATAAGTCGAAATTGGAACCCTGTTCTTCGATACCGTTGTGCTAGCCCTCATATATATATATATATATATATATATATATATATATATATATATATATATATATATATATATATATGTGTGTGTGTGTGTGTGTGGACAGAATTATTCACTGTCTATTCCATAATTATAAATAATGCTGTAATATGGAAACTTCATGTGCATTTTCTCACAAACAATGAAATAATGGATTTGAAAGAATGCAATGATGCCCACAATAAAACATTAGTTTTAATGTCAAACAATAATATAAAAGACAGCAAAAAATTTAACATCGGAAAACATTATTGGCCATCTTGCCTCAATAATCAACAGTGTAAACTTTATTCTTGATTATTGCCTTTAATCGTTTTGATAGTTCCTTATAAGATCACTATACACACTGAAAGGTATTTTGTTTCATTCTTCCTTAGTTACAGCTTCTCGTTCCTCCAAATTTGAAGAAATTCTTTCCCTTTCTTTTTAATAAAATATACCCATAAATTTCCAATGGGCTTTTTATTATTTCCTCTTTGGCTTCCGGTTCCATATAAAGTCATTACATTCTGTCTCACTCCTAGTAGACCCTTTCGTTTTAGAGGCATTATCGCCTTGCTTTTGGCGAACTGATTAATATATATATATATATATATATATATATATATATATATATATATATATATATATATATATAGTCTCTATTCCTTCTTTTCACATTCTGTTTTGTTTCTATTTTACTAGCCTTTTAAATCTGTTTTCTCTTGCTATCTATCTATCTATCTATCTATCTATCTATCTATTTTAGTCTCTTTTCTTCCTATCTATCTATCTATCTATCTATCTATCTATCTATCTCTTTTAGTCTATTTTCTTCCTTTCTATCTATCTCTATCTATCTATCTATCTATCTATCTATTTTATTTTACTCTCTTTTCTTCCTTTCTATCTATCTATCTATCTATCTATCTATCTATCTATCTATCTATTTTAGTCTCTTTTCTTCCTATCTATCTATCTATCTATCTATCTATCTATCTATCTATCTATCTATTTTAGTCTCTTTTCTTCCTTTCTATCTATCTATCTATCTATCTATCTATCTATCTATCTATCTATCTATGTCCTGTGTATGATGATAAACTGCATCCACGTTCTGCAGCAAGGCCTCTGACCAGAAAGTTTTGAGGAGCGTTGAAACATCTCTTAATTGCTGGTGTTCTCAAGCCCACCCTGATTCGGGATGGTACCACCTATTAGGGTCCGAGCTATGGGCAAATAGTTAACCCACAAACTGGGGTCAAACAACTATGAAAGTGTACAAAATAGGTTTTAATACACAGCAATACATTTTTGAAAAAGAATTTCCAGTAATACATTATTTGCTGCAGTACATTTTTTAGAGGAAAAATATTACTAGCAATACATTTAAAAATATATATTACCATCGTTACGTCTTTGGCGAAAAATATTACCAGGAATACATTTTTGAAAAAAATATCTTATCAGCAATAAAATTCTTGTCGGCATTCAATAACTCATTGAGGTTGATATGCCATAAAACAAACCGAACCGTACTGAACCTATCTATCTATCTATCTATCTATCTATCTATCTATCTATCTATCTAAATGTGTCCATCTCTATCTCAATCAGGCTGTTGATATAACTCTTCGTTTGTTTATCTCTCTCTATATATCTGAGTGTCTTTCTTTCCCTCTTTCTTTTCTTTTTCTTTCTATCTATATTTCTTTCTTTCTTTCTTTCTTTCTTTCTTTCTTTCTTTCTTTCTGCGTGCCTGCCTGCCTATCATATTCTATTCGTCGGTACCCACCGCATGCAGCACTCGTTCACCTTAGTCTCATTTGTTGCTGTTATGTCGTTTTTTTTTCTCGCCGAATTACATGGCTTATCTATCATAGCTGTTTTTGCTGTTCAAAATATTCAAGTGATATGTTATTTGGTACAGTTTTTTTTTGTTTAAGATCCTGTAGCGTCAGTCCACGAAGTTCGAAGAAGGGTTGTCCTTTCTAAGGCCAACACGCTTCATTTTATCGAAGCCATTTTTAACCATTGATCTGAGAAAACGGTTGGATACGGTTGTCAGTTCAAACATTTTTAAACGCCATGCATGACATCCATATGCCATTATCGATTTTATTCATTAAATATTTGTTTATTTTTCTTCTCTCCCAATAAGAGCAGATGGGTTCTCCTATCTCCTGGTTCACACTCCTTCCCGATCTCTTGAACACCCGTGTAGAGGTTTATCCGCTGTTTCCGGTTCCTTTTAAAATCTACTGGATACTCCTAACGTCACCGTCTGAACTTTGACATTTATACTTATTATTTATTTGTTTTTCTTTTCTTCCAGTAGGAGTAAATAGGTTCACCTATCGCCCGGTTCAAACACCTCCCCAGTGTTTTTTTTTTAGCAGGATTAGAAGTCTATGCCTTGTTTCCTGTTTTAGAATTCGGTTTCTGGTTCCTTCCTTCTTTTCATTCGCTTGTTTACCCAATCACGAATAATCTTGTCCTTTTCAAGTCTAGCCGTTATTTTTTCTGCATAACCCCAAAGACTTCAATATTTGTCCTTTTCTACGCTCATACAACACCACACAGTAACCCTCTAGATTGAGTGACTCTTGGGCCTGGTATTGGGTGAAACACACAATTACCCACATACCGAAAGCTAGCCGTTATTTTTTCCTGCACAGCCCGAAGGACTTCAATTTTTGTCCTTTCCTACGATCATACAACACCGCACAGTAACCCCTAGCTTCAGTGGCTCTTGGGCCAGTCATTGGGTGAACATTAGTAAAAAAAAAAATTATCCACACACCGAAAGCTCGCCGTTACTTTTTCCTGCACAGCCCCAATTTTTGTCCTTTCCTAGTTTTTCTCTAGCTTGAGGGGCTCTTGGGCCTTGCATTGGGTGAACAATAGTAAAAAAAAACACTTACTTACATACCTAAAGATTTTGTAATTAATAATTCCGCATCCCGAGTTTTTATAACCGATTCAGGGAATCTGTGCAGATTCACATTTCATTAGCCCTCCTCATATATTCCCCCAGACATTCGTCTTTTCTCTTACCACCGAGATACACAAGTAAATACGCCCAACAAGAGATCAGGGAAAAAATATAATTGACACGTAGTCGAGAAGAGCTGACTTCTTTGCATATGTTAGTCCTTAACCTGAATCACATGATTGATTTACAAGCATAAATCCAGATGTACAGGAGTGATAATCATTGCCAGTGGCCAAGATGAATGGGAACCTGCCAATCTTTGCATCACCAACAGCATCACGTTGCCTGCGTCTGTTTTCCTCTCTTCCCAATAGCTTTGAGATCAAGGATTCGCAAGAAGCAAGCCTACTTTGGGACGAGGCCACCTGTTCATTCGTCATTGACATTCGAGAGCATCCCCCCCCACAGGGCTAATGATAGATTTTCTTTCTGATGTCGCTAAAGATTCCGATGTCTGGTGGTCGATATTTGTGTGTTTGTGTTTATTGATTTGCAGTTGTACCCAAGTAAATGTTAAAACATAGAAAATCTGTTTTTTTTTCTTTTTGCTGCAGGCAAGATAATTCTGTACAAGCAGGATCGACGCAAAACAATATTCCTTAACCTCACTTCATTTTCTACGGATTATCAACTCTTTGCAAGTTATTTAAATCAGAAAATATATTTCTTTTAGATTGTAAGAACATTTGTAAGGCGGGGAGATGATAAAGACTTAGCGATACAAATCTTACTAATTAATCCATAGTTGGGGGACAGGAGGAACGGTGGATTCATACCTCTCTGCAAAGATTTTTGGATGTAAGGGTATATAAAAAACCCGAATGGTATTGACACTCGGATCTCCAGTTAACAATTCTGAGACATTATCCGTTACATCTTCTGCACATCCAAGCAACAACACCTGATATTCCCAAGTGGTTACCCATTAAGTTACTGACCAGGCTCAGCGTTGCTTAACTTCGGTAATCTCACGGGGGCCGCAGTTTCAACGTGATATGGCCGTAAGCTAGCCTAAACATAGTCTATATACATTTATAGAACTCTCTTGTCCCCAAACATCTAGCTGCTGTCTTCTAGGGCCCAGGACACATTCCTATCCCAGTATCTCGCCCGGAGGAGGCACTGTGGAGTAATGGATAGCGGCTTGGATTGAGGAATCGCAGAGCCGAGTTCGAATTCCAGTCGAACCCATTACATTCACTTACGTGCTAACACCCTTGGGAAAGGTGTGAATCCTCTTTCTTCTCCCTCCAGCTATGGCTAAATAGCAGGACAGACTGGGTTCTATAGCCTTCGATGGCAACTGGTCTAGGAGAAGGAAAACTCTGAATTCAAACCTGCTCTTAGAGGACGGTGAATGGAGTCTCTCTGAGCCTTGGTTGGCAATCCATTTAGTGTTGGTGTCACGATAAAAACAGCCTTGATAGCCCTAGCGAAGCATCAAGAATTCAGCTATTTGACAAGAACTACACCAATCAAAGTATTGGTGAGTTCAATCTCGGCTGAGGCCGCAAGATGAGATGATCTCGCCCGAAAACACATATGAAGAAACCTCTTTCTTGCTGTTACCTATACTCCAAATTTGAAATATCAAAGTGTACAGACTAAGCACAAATATGCATTTCGGTTTTTCTTGGAAGCATTTAGATAAGACTAGCAGCATGGCCCGGCGTTGCCCGTGCTTGATTCAAAAATCGTACGACTCATACAGCAATCGCTATCACTTGACTTAAAATATTTTTGCCCTTCCTTGCCTTTAAAGGAGTGCCCTTTTCCATGCTGATGTTGCTACATGCCTTACTTCTTGCCTATCTCACACTGCGAATTTTTTCTAAGCTCTAAACATTAAATCTGTTACGAAAAAAGAACTAAACAAAATGAACACAAAACGATCAGCTTTAAAAAAAAGGGATTCGTAACTGGAAAAACCGAATGAAAAAAGAATTTTAACAACAAATACTTTTTTCATACCCAACTCAGTTCTGCGGAATCAGAATCAACATTGAGTTTAAGCAAGCGAATGAGCCAATTGGAGTAAAGTGCCATGCAGATTTAAATTTTTCACACTTGTGACGAATGCAGCTATCGATTTTTTTGCATGCTAGTTAACATTCGTGTCAGTCAGCTGTTGGCTCTCACACTGGCCAATAGAATCTTCCTACCTATTCGTGGCAGCCAGATATAGGCTCTCACTGGCCAGTAGAAAAAGGCCACAAACTACATGAAAACTGCCGTAGAAGGATGAAAAATTCGATTATTTCCACTATCGATGGGAGTTGGGAAATGCAAAATCGGTCTTGGCCTTCCCACTAACTTGGAGCATGTGCATGTAAATTTTGGTGCAAATCCGTCGAAAATTGCGACCGTGCATTCGTTACACACACACACAGACACACATCATGCCTCTTATAGATAGAGATGTCACTACACCTACAAACACCTAGAGTAACCGGCCCCGGGGATGTCGACCGGCTGATCTGGTTGGCGTGGGGCATCTTCTGTCCAAGTAACATCAGTAAGATATAATCAAACATTGTCTTTCTTTAATATCAGTGTCACGATATTGGGGTTTATGCATCCTATTGACGAGCATATCTTTTAACCTGTTAGTTCTCTTATTGCATATTTGCTTTATTTAATAATCATTCTTCGTATTTCTGCACGCTTTTCGTTGAGCCGTTCCTCTTTTTACCATTTGGGCAGTAATCATTATTCTGTGCCAGACCTTTGCATTTTTTTTGTCACCTTTTCAACATTTCAAGAATTTCATCTGTCATCCACTGCTTTTTTTTCTTGTCTAGTTTTCTTTGGTATGATCACGTTTACTGGTGTTTCTAAAGCTTCTCTTAATCGGTCCTAATTTGAATTTACATTCTCATTTAATTCATTCTATTTTCTTTTAAGGCTGTTCGTATATTTCTCTTTCGGACAACATAAAATAAAACCATACAGTCGTGTATACCTTTTAGTTTGATTTTTATTATTTCTAAAAGAAAGCGTGGGTGCTTCTCGAGTGCTTCGTGAAAATATATTATTTGATTCTAATTTCATACTGCCGCCACCACGACAGCTTTCCACCGCCCTCTCTTTTTCGGATAATTCTACGACCCCCAAGGAGGCTTCCCACCCACTTGGAATCTTAGTTCTATATTAATATGTTCTTATTAGTTTCTATAAAACTTGCCATGTCTTTCTCCAAGCGTTTCTTTATCTGTCTGTGTGTCTTCCTGTAAGTCCCTCTTTCTATGTTTGTCCATCCGTGTAACTATTTTGTCTACATATTCACCCACCTCTCTCTCTGTTATTCTCTTTCTCACTCTCTCTCCCTATATATATATATATATATATATATATATATATATATATATATATATGTGTGTGTGTGTGTGTGTGTGTATAGATATAGAAGGCGGCTGATCGAAATTAGAAAGATAAAAAAATAACAACTAAAACAACAAAAACAACAATAATAATAATAATAATAATCTTACTTATTATAAAACGCAGATTGTGTGTGTGTGTGTGTGTGTCTGTACGTTTATATATTGGATTGGATTTCCTACATTTTTCAACCGATTTCAACAAAACTTCACAGGACTACGTAAAATTACCTTGCGGTGGTTATGACAGCGCCAAAAATTGGAAAAACACAATTGTTTTTGCAGGAAATCAATTTGAAAACACTATAAAACACGATTCTGTCGCCAGAATGAAAGGGGGACAACTCATATCGAGTTATACTTATTATAAAACCCAGGTTGTTTGTGTGTGTGTTCATTTATATATAGGATTGGATTTCCTACATTTTTCAACCGATTTCAACAAAACTTCACTTTTTTTTTGGCAGGTAGTGTTTCTTATTGTCTTGACACTTTTTTCTTTATTTTTACATTCAGAATGCTTTAAAAATTCCATTTACAAGACAATTGTTTATAATAAAATTCTATTCAATCGATAGACACATAACGATTGAAAACAATGTTTTTGTTTGAGTTTGGGTTTGACCAATTCGTAAAAAAAAAAAAAAAAAACAAAAACTAATTAAGACATGCGTGTCCGTCAACCTTAAACAATAATCTTTATCAATTTTATTTTTCAGTCTTTATGGTGATCGATACTTGATCTATCTCTTTCTATCTATCTATCTATCTATCTATTGGTTCTTTAAAATCTATCTATCTATCTATCTATCTATCTATCTATCTATCTATCTATATATATATATATATATTGAACAATAAGAAAATAAAAAATTAAAAAATTAAAATCATTAGACACACTGGGTTGTAGATTAATATTCTTTCGTTTTTATTATTATTCCATTTAGATTCCTCGACTAGTTTCGACCGAAATGGCCATCATCGGGAGGAGAAATATTTCTGCTTGCTGTTAGCAGTGAACTACAGAAATGAATGTCTTTTGTTGGAGAAAATGAACTTTTGTCTGTAGTTTTCATTTGTTTTTTTTTTATTTTTTTATCTTTTTCACATGAATCTTTTAAGATTCCTTGTGTTGGTCAAACAGTCTCTTTTAAGTTGTTATTTGAGATAAGAACTGGATAGATACATTTTATCCTGAATTCTCTGGTCAGTTTGACAGTTTTATTGGACCTGGTGAGGGGATGTGTCTCTGTTTTGTGTTTGTGTGTGTGTTATTTGGTTCTTAGGGAGTGAGTGAGTATGATATGTGTAAGCGTGTGTATTGCTGTAGGTGTGTGTCATCATTTGGCTCATTAGGGAGTGAGTGAGTATGGTGTGTGTACGTGTGTATAATCGTGTGGGTGAGTGTATAAGTGTGAGGCCTCCATTCCTCCGTAAGCATGTCTGTCTTGTGTGGGTGAGAAATGTGGGTAGGTTTTGATTTGTTGAGTTATATATTGTTACTATTATATATTGTTAAATTTATGATTTAGCACGGCTGGGTATTTTGTTTTTAGACGTTGTATCCACTTATTTTCATGGGACTCTAAAATTTTTCTAATGTTATCTGCTCTGAACTTTTCTATTCTCTCAATTATAGTGTCTTTAATATATATATATATATATATATATATATATATATATATATATATATATATATATAAAAGACATTTTTTAGTGTTTAACATTCTTTTTATAGATACAAATATTTTAGTAAATGCTCTGTTTATAATAAACAGTATTAAGTATTCAAGCCAGTAAATGTTATTTAATACTGTCTTTAATAAATTGTTGGACTTTGTCCATTTCTTAATATATATATATATATATATATATATATATATATATATATATATATATATATATATATAATTGCATATGATAGAACAAATATGTCAGTTTGATTTATCTTATCTTTTCCTCACAAATAACACTTTGTTTTACTGATGATGATTAAAGAATACGTGGAGAATACGCCATATCAATCTCAATGGGTTATTTAATGGTTTGGTTTGGTTGGTTTTACGCCATATCAACCTCGATGGGTTATTTAATGGTTTGGTTGGTTTTACGCCATATCAAACTCAATGGGTTATTTAATGGTTTGGTTGGTTTGGTTGGTTTTACGCCATATCAAACTCAATGGGTTATTTAATGCCGACATTTTTTATTGCTGCTTAATATTTTTTCTTCAAAAATGTATTTTTGGTAATAGTTTTTCTTCAAAACGTCTAGTTCTGGTAATAGTTTTCCTCCCAAAACGTATCGCTGGTATTATTTTTTTCCAAAAATGTGTTGCTGGTAATATTATTTTTTTCAAATATTTATTGCTGGTAATAATGTATTGCTGGTAATATTTTTTCCTTCAAAAATTTATTGCTGGTAATAATTTTTTACAAAGTATTTCTGGTATTAAAACCTATTTTGAAACTTTCATTTCGTTTTGAACCAAATTTGGAGGTTAACTATTTGACCATAGCGTGGACCCTAACAGGTGCTACCACCCCAGGTGAGGGTAGACCTGTGAACACCAACAGTTAAGAGGTGCTTCCACGTTCCTCAAAACCTCCAGATCAGAGGCCTTGATGTTGGACGTAGTTTATCGTCATACCCAGGACGGGGTTATTTAATGCCGATAAGTTTTCTTAGGATAGGTTCGTATGAATAGAATATGTATATATATATATTTAATTGCTGGTAATATATATATATATATATATATATATATATATATATATATATATATATATATATAGGTAATTATGAAAAACTAGGTAATCCGTATGGGTAAACCTAAGGAGAATAAAATTAAATTTCATTGTAAATTATTTGCAGAAATAATTTAAATAAAATTAAATTTATTTAAATTTTTTTTATTTATAAATATTAATAGTTTTTCAAAACTAAATATTAACTCCTTATAAAATATGGAACCTTAATGTGGTCTGTTTTTATTTGATACATATATATATATATATATATATATATATATATATATATATATATATATATATATATATATATATATATTTCTGAAAGTGTACTGCTCATATTTTTACTATAAAAACCTATTTTACACTTTCATAGTGTTTTGACCCCTGTTTGCTGGTTAACTATTTGCCCATAGTTAGGACCCCCTGACAGGTGCTACCACCTAGGGTAAGGGTGAACCTGGGAACTATAGCAATGAAGGGGTGGTTTCAGGCTCCTCAAAACCTCCTGGATGTAGTTTATCGTCACACCCAGGACCTGTGCTTTTAGAACTACGGATAATATCTGCATCATCTTGGATCGACTCAGGAAGAACTACACAAAAATTCCGAAATGAAATTCTATTTGTGTAATATTCATGAATACCCGTTTAAATAAAAACAACAACAACAAAAAAAAATAATCCAGCATCAATAACATTTCGTTATATTTAGGGAAGAACAAAGTGGATATAGTAACGCAATCAGACAACAGACAAAACAGCACAAGATGGCGCGATACGCGATACTCGAAAAGATTTGACCTGAGAACCGCTGATGCGATATGAGAAAATCACCAATGAAAAACAATACATACACAACCATTATTAATACAGGCAAAAAAACAACAAAACAAAACAACAAAAAAACAAAACAACAACAACAACAAAAAAACAAAAAAACGAATTGTTGAAAGCTGAGAGTACTTAGAAGTTACTGGACAATTTATGTTCAAACCCTACCCGGAAAGTAACCGAAATGGATCGAAGTGTAGAAAAATAGCATACTAAAATCTTAAACAAAAAAAAAAACCTTTCGTTGGTCTTTGAACAGACGTGTATATTTCAGAAATTGCTCTGTCATTGGAAAAAAAAACATTCTTTTGACACATTTTTTGTGTTCATTTTTGCTGACATTATTATTTGTAAAATTTAACTTGTGTTTTGCTGTTGACAGATGTCGAACATTGCGCAAATACTATTTTGCATGAGTTAAACCGATATTAGAGACAGCGTAAAATGTCTTAATTATGCAAGAGCAATTTGCGTTTACTTTCAATTAATTCGATAATTAAAAAAATCAGAATTAAAAGCTCAAAGAATATATGTTAAAATAATTATATCACGTTTAAATGATTTATTGTGAATTGAGACAAACAAGATATAAATTATACAATATTATGCGGGTATATTTTGGAATTATGCATGCAAAATATGAGAAGAATACCAGATCTTTACAAAAAAAATAAAAATAAAAAATAAATAAAATAATAGTGTCAGACGTTGCCTGAACCAATTCGATTAGAGTAGTGTTAGTGATAAAGTTATATTATTAAAAGTTAAAACAATTGCAGTAATAATATGCTGTAACCTAGGAAGGCTTACTGAATAAGGAATAAACAATACGGACGTTGGAAATAAAGTAGTAATCTTTATAACATCAACAGAATACAATACTCGCCAGCGGCGTGAAATAGGTAAACCACTGCTAGTGGTGGACTACTTAGACAGCATATTACCTCAACTTATAATTGCGTACAACGTATTAATGTTTATTGGGACGTATCCATAATGTTTATTGGGACGTATCCATCAGCAAAATACAATACTCTACAATACTATATAAGACTCCTATCTATCTATCTATCTATCTATCTATCTATCTATCTATCTATCTATCTATCTATCTATCGTTTGTAACATACAATGGGCTAATGAATGAGTAATACACAATACGGTGGTTGGAAATGAAATGGTAATCTTTATAACATCAACAAAATACAATACTCGCCAGCGGTGTGAAGTAGATAAACCACTGCTAGTGGTGGACTACTTAGACACCATATTACCCCCATTTATAATAGCTGACAACGTATTAATGTTTATTGGGACATACCCATTAGTGTTCACTGGTACGGTATATAACACTATGTAAGACCCCTATCTATCTATCTATCTATCTATCTATCTATCTATCTATCTGTTGTAACAAAGAATGGGCTATTGAATGAGTAATAAACAATACGGAGGTTAGAAATGATCTTTATAACATCAACAAAATACAATGCTCGCCAGCGGCGTGAAGTAGGTAAACCACTGCTAGTCGTGGACTACATAGACAGCATATTACCCCCACTTACAATACCGAATTAATGTTTAATGGCACATACCCATTAGTGTTCACCGGTACGGTATATAACACTATGTAAAACCCCTATCTATCTATCTATCTATCTATCTATCTATCTATCTATCTATCTATCTATCTAACTATCTATCTATCTATCTATCGTTTGTAACATACAATAGGCTACTGAATGAGTAATACACAATACGGTGGTTGGAAAGGAAATGGTAATCTTTATAACATCAGCAAAATACAATACTCTACAATACTATATAAGACTCCTATCTATCTATCTATCTATCTATCTATCTATCTATCTATCTATCTATCTATCTATCTATCTATCTATCTGTTGTAACATGGAATGGGCTATTGAATGAGTAATAAACAATACGGTGGTTGGAAATGAAAGGGTAATCATTATAACATCAACAAAATACAATACTCGCCAGCGGTGTGAAGTAGATAAACCACTGCTAGTGGTGGACTACTTAGACAGTATATTACTCCCACTTATAATAGCGGACAACGTATTAATGTTTATTGGGACATACCCATTAGTGTTCATAGGTACACTCTATAACAGAATAGTAATAATTATATGTAGGCGTAAAGCTGTTGATAAAAGCAATAAGAA